GCAATAGGCTTGGTCGTTGTCATCTAAAATATAGTAAAAAGTCGACGCCCTCAACGGCTTTCCTATCACCAATTGCTTCCTCACAGAAGGACCAAATTAATTAAGGAGTATTTTTTTCCAGTGTAATGTTAATAAATAGGATAACTTTGTTACAAAGTAGATTTCTGAAGACAGCCTATTATAATATCATACACGTAAACTATTCGATTATAACTAAGACTATCATTCCACGGATGCTGGGTATCAGTCACGTGTTTTAGACAGCCTCTGTATAACGGTCCCAGCAACGAAATAACCACCAGAATAAGCAATGCTGAAATAGGTTTATTGATAATAAGATAGATTTGCCAGTCATTTGTTCAATATATTTGCTAATATACATAACAAATATGATGACATTATGGAATGTAATAAATACACGTGAATATAGTCTATATAAGTACAATTTGAAACACTGATGGCGCGCCACTAAAGTGTGGCACCACGCCATGACGCATCCCCGTTATAGCGCACTATGTCGGAGCCTCTATACACTGATTACATCGAAGGCACCGTGATTATGCATCCGCATCTGTACCTGAATTTCATGCAAAACTATTATTATTCGAAGAAAAATATAGTTTTTGATTTATATTACATACATTCACAAAACATTTGAACAATGTGCAATGTGTTGAGTCTGTAAATATAACAGAAAACAAATATAACTTATTTTTATGAGCAGCTGCTTGGTGGCGCTATTCAATATTTTAGCAATGTGTGGTAATTCCTGATTATTGGCACTCAATATGCTACATGAGAAACAAAATATTTAAATGCGTTATTCACATATTTAATTTTGAAAACAACATGAAAAAAATATTGTTTAACAAGTGACCCAACAACTCGTACTAATTATTCGTCAAATATTCATGGTAAATTATGTCGATTTTTATATACAATTAAGGAACCAACTTTACTATGACAGGCTCATTTGATTTTTTTTATCTTCTAAATGCGTCAAGGTGCACCTGCGAAATCGTTAAAATACTTGATGTGTATATAGGACGTCTTACATTAAATTGCACGAACGGCGAATCTAACACATAAAACAATTTACAACATTTCATAATAATTTCTCAGAGAAACTTTAAAAGTGTAAATGACAAATGAAACAATGTTCAACTGTGTTGTAATCAGTTAATGACGTATCTACCTTGACGAGAATTACAATACGGGGATTGAAGCAGCTTCAAATAAACGTGTGTAATGTACAATGTCTTTCTCAACGCACTGATACATCGTTGCTGTAAATAGCGCCCTCCAGCGCTTCTGTTAGGAAAATGTATCCACTAAAAATACTGTTTTTTTACAGTTATGCTCTAAAAAAAGATCGATTGAAACGACATTGCTCACACATATGATCGTCATGCTGACGTCACAAACGCGTCATTGCTGGAGGTAGCTACTTATTTAAAGGGAGGTGGTCGACGCGCAGCGCATGTGCGATATTTGTGTTGATAACCATTGATTGTCACATAATCCAATCACGAGTACAAGTTTTAACCTGGACGCGACGTGCACTAATTACCGCCAATGACCTTTTCGATGCCTTCCAATCACCAACGAATCTACCTAGGTGAAACTTTTGTAACGTTTGTACTCGTCAGTCTGCTGCCTAACAGACAAAGTCGCCACCTTTGTTCATATGAGACCCATATCTCGCGCATGCGTGCCGCCACGATCACCGCCTTTTAATATTATGTGAAAATAAGATGGAAGTGGCGATATCAGTACATTTTTGGTTGAAAAATAAAACATTTATGTCCACTGTTCGTTATCATCAGGCCCACATACTAATGTTCGAGTGGTTCATGTCGATGACGTGAAACTAATATACATTACAATACACAGCCTCGCAATTCAATGTGTATGTGTAATTATGAGTTCCATCCTATATTGAGTTGCACAAATATTGAAATTAACATATTTTTT